AAGATAATCATTTTAAATATTTAAAAATTATTTTATGGATTTCCATTTTTTATCACTTTAAGATATCTTACTTCATCATCAATATTTAATCCCATCATTTATTCAATAGGTAATCTTAAAGATACTCTATATAATGTATCATCTGCTGAAATACATTTGATTGAACTATCAATATAATGGAAATCTTATATGAACAATCCTTATGATAAATCACTCAAGAATACTCTATATTTATTATTAATCTTATAAGTAATGAAACTAGATGCATAAAATTCACTATGTTTTCTTGAATCTACACAAGGTGTATAGGTATATGATACAGATTTTGGTGGTGTATATTCATAATGGTAAGCACAAATTCTAGATGTATAATACATATATCCTCCAATTATTTAATATCCATCCAAAATTAAAAAATTACCATCATCCAATAATTCTAATTATAATAATTAATAACTAAGTTTAATTTAAAATGGTTCTCCAATCAATTAATATTATTTATCTTAATATTTAATCATTTAAACAAAACCAGCATATGTATTAGTCTAACCTGTTATTAATATTGTATCATTTTTACACCATATCTTATTTATTGTATATTAATTATCTAAACTGAAATAGAATGTTGGATGTTTTACATAATGCATTGAATCTAAAAATATCAATTGATTTGCTGTCAAAAATACAAAATAATCATCCTTTAATTAACATTAATCTAATAAAGCAGAAAAATATTCAAGACTCTATATTAAATCAATTTTTTAAGTAAGCATGATTTAATCTTAACATTATTAACATTCTGCTTAATACTTTATAATTTATCCTTTAAACCATCCATTTGATATTTTCATAGCTGCCTAAGTAACCAATAAACTTTCATTACTTACTAAAGCAGCTATATTAGTCATTAAATTCAAAAAAGTTACATTCTATCTAAATTCTATTTATTCTGGTGAATCTATTGAATCATAATGAATTAATATTTCTTTCTTATGAATATATTCATCATTCCATTATGATGATATCACTGCTTAAAAATTCTTATAAATTAATAAATTCTTTATTCCAAATTTTGAACTTGCATGTATCAATAAACCATAATAATATACTTTTGTTATTCCTAATCTTAAGGAATCCTTTAAATACCAACCTAAAGGAATATGAGTTAATAATGATTCTCTTAAATTTGCATCTGGTTAATATACTAATAAAACTGTTTATTATAAAACTGGAGTATAGGCTCTAATTATTATTTATTCTAAAGATGACATCATTTATAATGGAGTTTAAAGAATATAATGAAATAGTGGAATTTTCTTTAAAAAAGATATTGATCTTCTTCTCATACTATATTCTCTAAGTTCTTATTAATGACCAAAATGTAATGCTACAAAGAATGAATAACTTGCTAAACTAACTTCTATTTATCTACATTCTGGAAAGGATAAGTAATTTACCATACTAAAATTATCATACAGAAAACCTGCAATCAAAGAATCTTAATTTGCTATAATTATCAAATTTTATTTTTTATCTATTCTTACAAATTTAGGTTTTAATTCATAAGGTTAAACATCTTATGATGTAATTGTGTATATGAATTATTAATCATATAATGAATATATTTATATTTCTCCTTTTTTTTCTAATACAACATATATATATTATTCAGTCATACAAAATGAATTTATTAATGAATTTTCATCTTTCAAACTTGTTGAAATCATAAATAATTTAGTAACTATTGATTATTTTAATTAGAATATCTCTATTGTATGTCTGAATTTAGAAATATATCCAAAAATTACAACTTCTTTCTCTATCCATTAAAAAGAATCATTATCTAATTCTCTATTTGGACTAAAATCATGAACTTTTTAACAGAATAATTCATAATTGATTATAGATACACGACATTAATATAAAGTAGCTTTTAAGGTTTACAATTAAATGACATAATAAGTATAACTACCACTATAAAACATACTTATATATAACATATTTTCAGGCCATATAATACCATTAATTTTCATATCCTCTAAATATCCTAATTTTAATGATATGCTTTAATCATTTAAATATATTTTAGCATTAATATTAGATCCAGTTACTCCTAATTCCTTGAAAATAGAAACCTATGGATATGTAGGATAATTGACAAATGGTTTTATCTAATTCTTCACATTAGTCTTTTAATATAAATTATTATCTAAATAATCATATATTATATAATTAAATGTAATAGCACATTATGATTCTTCTGTACCAATCACTTATAATCTTTAAAATTCATTTGAAGGTTAAGTGAAAGGTTTCATTATTAACATTGCTGAAGATACATAATAACTTTATTGAATATTTTAAGTTACTAAATAAATTATTGATTATTAATAGTTGAAATCTAATAAAATAGGTGTTTCAAATTATATTGAATACATTCTTACCATATTTGAAATTGAATATATACTAATATTTGTAGTATTATATAAAGTAAAGTATTTTTATTCACTATTTACTCTAAGACCAGCTATACGATATTGAGTAAAATTGATAAGTCCATTAAACCAATAAAAATAATCTATTCCCTCTGGTGATAACACAAAGATTGAATTCTGTATTGTAGTAACTACAATTTAATAACTTAAATCTTCAAACATCAAACTCATAGCATAATATGAAGAATAATAAGAATAATTATGATGATAAACTAATTTAAATTTATCTAAATTTATGTTCTCCAATATGATTACACCAAATGATTTATCTAAAACAACTACTTAATTTAGAATTGCTAATTTTGCATCAATTATTTCAAATTATTTACTTGCTAAAGGTAACAAAGACGTTAATACTGTTGTATTTATGACAACATTAAAGTCATAAAAAGAACCATCATAATAATAAATTTATACATCATTCTTTGTTAGAATCAAGATCTTTTCATCTTATATATCAATATCTAAAATTAAACTATCAACTTAGTAATAATTCTATTGTTTAGCAATCCAAAATCTTTTTCCATATGCCAATAATACAGCATCCTTTTATATCACTCTAATAAAAGAACATGGTTAATCTGTCTCAAAATAAACTATCTCTATTGATGGGTATCTTATTTAATACATGGACTCATTCTTTATTAAAATTGCTTTATAACTTGTATCAAATCCTTACTTCTTCATTGAATGAATGTCTAATAATGTAACATCACCTATAATTGATATAAGTTTATCTACTTAAATCAATATGAGTAGCATCCATAGGTTAAAGTATTTAAAAAAGTTCGAAATTTTCCTCATCACCATTTAATGAAAAGGTCAGATCTTATCCAAAAAAGTATTTGTTCAAATCCCATTCCTTTCGTTCATAGGTTGAAGCATATATCGTTAAATTGTTTTCTCCTCAATTAATATATATTCATACAGCAATACAAAGTATATGATGGAATGAACAATATAAATAATAGCATTTATATAATATATATATTTTTAATTCATTTCTTAATTGAACAAGATTTAACTTTTTCAGCAAATCTTAAACTTGCAAGGGTTTATTAAAAATCTTCTGATCTTGATGAAATATTAACCATCATCAATGTCTTAGAACTTCCTTCCATATATTTGTATAATGAAAAAGTTAACTTACTATTTCTAAATGGTACATGTTATTATTTAGTATACAAAGCATTAAATACATCACCCAATGCACTTAATGATTTATTAATTGCTTTTGTTTCAGTAAATCTATCTCCTTCAGTTTTAGCTACATTAGCCCTTTCAGAACCAGCCAAATCAATTAAATTTAAAGTAGAATTGATTTGTTTATCACCCAAATGTCCTTACAAATTTAATTAAAATATAAAATGACTTCTAGATGATACTTCATTACTAAAAGTTTCTGCAACTTATCTATTCTTTTTAGCAGTATTAAAATGTTCTGCTACTTCAAATATATCTTTTACATCCAATAATTTAACTTCATCACATTTTTAATTTGTTATTAAATCTCTACTTTATTCATTATAAATCTCTTAAAATCCTACTCTAATATTTGTTTACCAACCAAGTTCCAACATACCTTATCTCTCTTTAAATATTTACTCAACTGCCCTAGGTATTACACCTTTATTATAATCATCACCCTACATGGTATAAGTTTTACCTGAACCTGTTTATCCATAAGCAAAAATACACACATTATGACCATCAACTACATTTTGAACTAAATCTGAGAGTTCATTATAAATTTCTTATTAATCTGCATCTTAACTAAAAATGTGCTCAAAATTAAAACTACTTTCCTTTTAACAATTAGTTGACTTTAAAAATCTTTCAGGAACTCGAAGTACTAATGTACATTCTCCATTTAATAATAACATATCTTCTTATGAATTTGGTCTAATACGACAATAAACACGTATATTGCCTTTGGCTTCTTATAATAGATTATTCCAATATCTCTTCTAATGTTCAGTGTCTTTGAGTTCTTATTATAATTGAATTTATTGTTGTTAACTCAATTTAAAATTATTCATTAGTTATTGCTTCAAGAATTTCTTTTATTCAAGTTCTTCTTTTGTTTATTATAATTCAATAAGAATTCTTTCTTTGGCCTTTTACATTTCAGCAATTTATAATCTTTATCTAGTTTGTTATTCAAATAATTCTTAGATAGATTACATTTGACTCTGTTATTAGTTTAATCGACTTGCATGATATTCTAATTGATCTTATTGTTAATGAAACTACTAGATTGCTTATCTATCAGCTTCATCTAATTTAGACTAAAAATCAGATAAGCATTCGCGGGTAGTTTTTTGAATTATTTAAGTGAGAGGCTTGAATTCATCAAAACTTTTTTTGAATTCTCCTATTTCTTCACTTTGAACTGCAAGAATTCTATTTTTATGAGTGATTAATTCAATAAGTTTTTCTTCTATAACTTTTAAATGATATGCTCTAATATCTTTAAGTTCTTTTTCCATTTATAAATATAATAAAATGGATGACTTGAACACAATAGTGGAGCCAATAAATACTCTTTAAAAAATAACATTTGGAGAGAAGTTTGCTGAATATTAGGTATTAAGATGTAATCATCCTGGGTTTTTGCCATTGATAATATAAATAGAAGCATTAATTACAGGTGGATGTTAAATGTGGTTCAAAATGTACTTGCATTAGGAAATCTTGGTAGGACATTTAAGAGACTTTTTAAGAAAAATGTTACAAAATAGATTTGCAAACATTGCACAATATAAGGACAACATTGCACTTGTAGTTAGTGATTTCATAATTATCAAATGTATGGAATATCTATAACTTATTAAAAGTCGATGTACCTTTAAATGAAATATATTAAAAGAAGGCAGAGAAAGATGGTTGGTTATATATTACAATTGCATATGATTACTAAAAATGAGATTATACATACTAATAATTATATGAATTAAGACATTTATATCAAAAAATAATGGTTCATAAAAAGTCGAGAAGGGAAGGTCGAAGATTATTATATTTTAGACAATAAAGTTTAATTACAATATCATCTATTTAGGAACTCTCTTCTGGTTCATTTGGAAAGGTTTATTAAGCAAAACCTAAACTCTTGAAAAATGATCCAATGAGAGCTGTAAAAGTAATACCAAAAAGACTTATTGAAAATAAAGATAGATTCCTTTAAGAAGTAGAAATTCTTAGAAATCTTGATCATCCAAATATTATCAAACTATATGAGACTTTTGAAGATGTTCGGAATATTTATTTAGTCATGGAGTATATTTGTTGATTTTAAATTATTTAGACTTTGTACTGGTGGTGAATTATTTGATTAAATTGTTACTCATGGTTAATTAAGTGAAAAGGATGCACAATAAGTGTTCATTTAAATAATGAGAGCCATTTCTTATTGTCATAGTAAAGGTATTGCTCATAGAGATTTAAAACCTGAAAATTTCATATATTATGATGATAAACCAGGAAGTTTATTGAAAGTAATTGATTTTGGATTGTCTCGTGTATTCAGATAATCAGGTTAATAAGAGAAATAAATGATGAAGAGTAGAACTGGCTCAGTAATCATTAAATTTTATAATTAGGTTTATTATATAAGTCCAGAAGTTTTGGATGGTTAATATGATGAATTATGTGATGTATGGTCAGCTGGAGTTATTCTATATATTTTACTTACAGGAATCCCACCTTTTAATGGAAATAGTGATGGAGAAATTGTTAAATAAATTAAAGCAGGAAAATTTAATTTAAATTTATCTGAATTATAGGTTGTTTCTGAAAGTGCTAAAGATCTTATTTAGAAAATGATTTGTAAACATTCTTAAAGATTAAATTCTCAATAAGTATTATAGCATGAATGGTTACAAAATCTAAATTAAAATGATTCTAAATTATCTCTTAATTTTGATTCATTAAAGTAATTCACTTAACAAAGTAAATTAAAAAAAGTATAAAAATAATTATTAATTTTATAGATTGTGCTTGCTTAAATAGCATCTTAAGTAAGTTTAAATGAAATTGGAGAACTTAGTAAATTATTTTAAACTTTAGATAAAGATGGTAATGGATAATTGAGTTTTGAAGAATTTAAGAATGGATTTAAAGAAAAGAAAAATGATCTATTGCAATATTTTGAAGCTATTGATACTGATTCATCAGGATCAATTGATTATAATGGTTTTTATAATTGATTTTTTATTACTATAGAATTCATAGCAGCCATGATGGAGAGGACATTCTATTTAAAATAAGATAAATTATTATAAGCCTTTTAAACATTTGATTTAGATAATGATGGAAAAATAACTGCATTAGAATTAAAAAAAGTGCTTGGAGGTAATAAATATATAAATATTAATATATAGATAATGATTATTATAATAAAATTGATTCTAAATTTTGGGAATCCTTAGTGAAAGATGGAGATTTTGATGAAGATGGTAAAATTGACTATTTAGAATTTGTTGAAATGATGAGTGATTTATGAAATATTTATAATATACATTAATTATAAAAATATTCATAAAATTCATATATAATATAATATCAACACCAATTAATATATTATAATATGAATAAAGAGGATATAGAACAAATATAAAAATATTTTGAAAAATTAACAGAAAATTAAAAATATATGGTAACTATGAGATTTTAATTTAAAAATAAGACAAAATCAAAGAGAAAATCATACTCTCTCAAAGTTATTACATTATGAAATCTTATTTAAATATTTTTACTTAGTATTCCAAAATACAATTAAAAATAGATATTTTAGTCAACTACTTATTAAATTAACGAAAGTATTTCTTAAAAAATCAAAAAAAATGTAACACAACAAGAATAGTTTAAGAATCTAAGGTTCAATTGACTCTGGATTAAATTTATAACTAAATCATTATTATGAATAATAACATCAATCAATCTTTGATATCATACCTAAACAGATATAAACTATTAAGACATAATATAATAAGAATTCACATTCTCAATGTGGTACTACTATTATAATCTTAATAAGATGTTAAATTATATCCTGAAATAACAATTGAAACTTTGGATACATTAAATTACATTTATTTTCACAGTATCCATTAACTCAAACCAAGACTTAAAGTAAACTTTTCCTTCTTTTGTTTGAAATCAATAGAGATGATACTAGAAAAAGGCCAAAAAGTGATAATTAAACGCATATAATATTATGAATAAAATATAAAACTCATCCGATTAAATTTAACCTTACTCATACTCTTCCATTAATAAGATAAGCAAATTTTTCTTTACTTGGTGCTACCCTATACTTAATGTAAGTTCTCATTTTAATTCGATATTAGAAAGGAAGAGTAAATCCATTATAATAAACCGATTTGTGTTCGATTGCAAAGGAGGATTCCTCCTATCATAGTTTTCTTAACTATCAGAACTAAATTGATTATGCAAAGAGAAGCAACAGCTCTCTTATTGGTGATATCGCAAGGGCATTTCAGAGTATTTATATGGCCTAAAGAGATTAGGATAAATGGTGATTACATTTATTGCGTACTTTATTGTAGCTATTTTATCTGCTATATAACCATATATTGCAAATATTGGATAGACATTCTTCATATATGACAAAGATGAAGAGAAACCTTCAGGAAGCAGTATGGGTTAGTTTGTTATTTTACAGTTAATATATATGCTTGCTATCACATTAATTAAGCCATATTAAATATTTGAACAAGTAAAAAATTGTATATTCTTAGACTTTGCTTAGTGTTAAGATTCAGGGAGCCTTGTAGTATAGAGTAATGTAGAAATCACTAAGTTTTGCTATGTCTCTTTCAAAAAACTATTCTTTTGGAGAATTACTTACCATTCTATAAGTAGATATTATCCAAGCATCTAATTATTATATTTACTTGTTCAGTTTATGGACTTGTATTCCTCAATTGATAATTGGAGGAATAATCTTTTACATTACTCTTGAAGAGAATAGTATAGTTCCTGCAATAGGAGCTGTTGTATAAGTGTGTTTTGGATTAATTTTTGGTCATTATTATGGAGTGATTCAAAAAAAGTTTATGGAAGCCAAAGATTAACGTATTCAGTTGGTTGATGAATCACTATTATATGCTAAATAGATTAAATTAAATTGTTTAGAAGATTTCTTTGAAAAGAGAGTAATATTATATATTATTTTATAGGTGTAAGAATAAAGGAAAATTGAATTGAAATATTTAAGATATTAGGTTTGGATGGTTATTGCTATTAAATTAGTGATGCTTATCATAATGGTTTTAAGTTGGGAGATAGCATTTATAGTAGCTAAAAAAATTAATTTTTCAATAATCAGTACAATGATACAAAATTATACTAGTATTGTTATGACTTTGGATTCATTACCAAGTATTAAAATTTTGAAAATCAATTTTAGCTTTATTTAAGAATTATTAGATGTCTTTGAATTCAATGAATAGAATTGAAAAATTCTTTAAGGATAAAGATATTTAAATTCATAAATAATAAAATGAAAATAGCATTGAATTTAATAATGTTAAAACAGGATGGAAAAAGTAATAGAATGAAGATACAATATATGATTTAGATCAATCATAAACAGGAATGTTATAAAGATAAGAAGATAAGACTTAATTCATTGTTGAAATTAGTATGAAAGTTTTGCCAGGCTAATTTATTGCTATTGTTGGTAGTTCAGGAAGTGGAAAGTCTACTATTTTACGTTCATTATTGGGTGAAACTTATATTGATTCTGGAAATATATCATATCATGGATAAATTAGTGTAGCTTCATAAGAACCTTGGATTATTAATGATAGCATAAAGAATAATATTACATATATGGATCAATTTAATTAAGAGAAATATAAATAAGTCATTGAATGTTGTTGTTTACAATAAGACATAGATGGATTTAAATATAAAGATAATACCATACTGATTGAAAAGGGAGATAACTTATCAGGTGGATAATAAAAGAGAATAAATTTAGCTAGAGCAGTATATAAAGATGCTGATATCTATTTATTTGATGATCCATTAAGTGCTTTAGACATTAAGGTGAAATATGAAATTTAGTAAAAATGTTTTGAAGGATATTTAAAAAACAAAACAAGAATTTTATTTACTAATTCTTTGGCTAATCTATAAAATTGTGATATGATCTATATTTTTGAGGATGGAAAGATGATTAATTCTGGGACTTTTGCTGAATTAAAGAATATAAAATAATCTTAAATTATAATAAAAACATAAGAAAATAGAGAATTATTAGATAAGTAATTTGAAGAGAAAATATATTAAGCACCTTCTCATTAATTAGAAACACAAGCTACATTAATATAGGAAGAAGATAGAAAGTAAGGTAATGTGGAAACTAAAATAATGCAATAAATCTTTGAGTTTTAAGGAAAATGGTTAATGGTTATTATAATTATATTTTATATTGGTATAGTAACAGCATGTTAATTGTATGGAAATCAAAAAATGGCTGATGATTCAATGTATATTAATAGTAATTATAAAAAATAGACCAGATGATGAATACAAAGAGCTTGCCATTATTTACTATCCTATAATACAAGTTCCAGTTGTTATTGCTAACATTATTATAATTTTATATTTTCTATTTAGAGGATTAAGCACATCTGAACAAATTCATGTAGATGTCATAAAAAGTTTGTTAAAAGCATCTTTTACTAAATTTTATAATACCATATTAATTGGAAGATTGATAAATAGATTAGGAAAAGATATTACTAATATAGATTACATGTTTCCAAACGAAATTTACAATCTCATATTTAATATTATATCTCTGCTTTTGCCTTTAATAGCAAGCATAATTTATTTGAATCCAGTTGCATTACCAGTTTTAATTGTTTTTTTCATAATTTTGATAGTACTTACTATCATTTATTATAAATCATTAAGAGAAATAAGTAGAATGGAAGCCATTTCTAAAAGTCCAATTGTTTCATTTTATTAATAGATTTTACGTGGAATCCTTTTTGTGAGAAGTTGTTTACCACAATAAGAAGTTATTGATCGTCATTTGAAAAATGTAGATTTGGATTTAGGCAATCAAGTAAATTTGAATGGATTATAATAATGGTATTAATCTATAGCAGGTACTATTACTAATATATTCTAAACTCTTCTTTTTATAGTTTGTGTAAGTGTTATTATTTAATTAAATTAGTTTTATGCAGAAGGTTCCACTCCTTTTATGACATACTTGATCTTGTTATAAATGTAAAGTGTATCTCTATTATTATTATTGGTGGCTGTTTCGTATGGTAACATCCTAATATATTGTATCTCTTTCGAAAGATGTTTACATTTAGCTAAGTATTTAGACTTTTTGTATTTTTTTAGTTAAATTCCTTTAGAGGAGGATGATTTAAGAGATTAAATTCAAGAGGAATAATATAAATCGAATCATTTGATAGAATTAGAGAATTGCAATTTTTAATATAGACCAAGAACCAAATAAGTTTTAAAATAATTATCATTATAAGTAGATTATGCTGAGAAAGTAAATATTATTTAAATTAAATTAGATTGGAATTGTTGGAAGAACTGGAGCAGGGAAAAGTTCAATAATTATGGCATTAACATATATGTTAGAATGTACTGATGGAAAATTCTTTATTGAAGGTCAAAGTGTTAAATAATTGAGATTATAACAATTACGTTAAAAATTTAGTGTAATTCCATAAGAACCTCTTATTTTTATGGGAACTTTATAGCAAAATTTAGATCCTTTAAATAAATTTGATATTAAAGAAATTGAATCAGTTGCTTAAATTTGTTAATTGTTTAAATTAGATGCACTTAAAAAGAAAGAATTATAAAGTGAGATTTAAGTATTTGGATAGAATCTGAGTGTTGGTGAAAAACAATTAATCACGTTGGGTCGTTGTCTTTTAAACAAACGGAGTATTGTATTGGTTGATGAAGCAACTGCAAATATTGATAGTAAAACTGAAGAAATGATAAAAGAAGTAAGAATATGATATATTATTTTTTAGATATTTGAAAAACATTTCACTCAATCTGCAATGATAATGATAGCACATAAAATAACAACAATTATGAATTGTGACAAAATTATAGTTCTATCAGATGGATGTGTTACTGAATGTGATACTCCTAATAACCTTTTACTCAATCCTAATAGTGAATTCAAGAAGATAGTTGATTTGATCAAATAGTCTGAACAACTATGATATATTCATATATTTTAATTTAATGATTGAAAACGAGGATTCCACCTTTAGAATTTTTATAATCCTTCTAAATGCATTGTCCTTTACACTTACAATTCTTATTTTACTGTTTATTTGTAGAATAAAATAGCTTCATGAAAGACAAGGTCATACTATTCAAATTGTACTCATTTTAGAATGTATGTTCTCATTTTTCTTAATACTATCACAATTTTATTATGATGAAGAAGACATCTATGAAACAACATTTTATGTGAAAAGTGAAGGTCAAGGTTGTTTAGCAATTGGCATACTAAATATATTTACATCATTTGCTTATTTTACTAATATCAACCTTTACTCTTTAGAATCCTTAGGTATATTGAGCTCAAAATTCACCAAGAATTACAAATTAAGACATTTAGCTGTTGTGTCAGGTTCCACTTTTTTTGCACTATTAGCTTTCTTATCCAATGCCATTGGATTCAATAAAATTGGCATGTGTTCCTTACTCCCTGGAAATTTATTTACAATATTCTTGTTGATACTCACTTCTGTTACTTTTATTATAATAGTTTGGACTTGTACATAAATTCATAGATTAAGAAAAGTGTTAGGCAAAGACTTGACTTCACGTATCTAAGACAAAAAGTATAAAGTCAATTTGATTTATATCATAACATTCTTGATCATTAGAATACTACCGGTATCATTCCCTTATAGATTATTTTAGGTATTAATTTTGACTATAATATCCCTTGCAGATAGTGATACAGAAACATATACTGTTGCTTTCTATGTTTTGGCAATACCTATGTCATTAGGTGGAGTGTGTTTGAGTTTAATTAGATCTCAAGAACCAACTATTTAAGATTATTTGACCAGGAAACTGCAAAAATAAAAATCTGGAATTGTCGAACTTTCTTTACCCAAAATGGAAGTTAGAGCCTTGAGTAACTCTATTTCGAATTTAAGTGCAGAATCTTAAATTATTAAAACTCATTATCTCTCTTATCTTCAAGGAACGACGAGAGATAATAGTGTAGCCTATCGAAAGACATGTTTAGACAATGAAGAATTGTAATAATTTAGAATTATAATAAGGGTTGCAAAACTAACATCTCAAATGGAAAATAATCAGATTAAGTTTAAACTCAATTAATTCCTCTTTATATTCAAAATAATTCGAGAAATGAATAATGGTTTTATAATACCAATTACAATTATGAATTTAACACATTATCATATGAAACATATGAGATAGAGGATCTTCTATTTTGATTGTGATTCTGATTTAAATGCCTCTTAAATTGTATGTACTAGTTATGCAGAATCTGTTTTCATATAAATAAGTTCAATTGATTAATTCATGACATCATTTGATGAAAAATTAAATAAAAATTTTGTTGAGCAATTACACAACTCTAAATTGAAATTATAAACAAATAGCCTAACTACATACGATGGAGAAGTACTTATCTCCATTATTAATAATTAAGCCAAGAGATATTTAACAAGACATTTGTTGTCAGCTATTTACAATTTAAGTGTTTCTGCTTAAAGATCATTCATCCCCCCTTTGATAGGACTCTACTCAATTGTGAATGATGATGATTAGTACTCAATCCTCATCTAAAGAAATCTCCTCAATTCCATCGTATTAGAGTAATAGGGCTTTAAAATATAAGGCTTATTTACCTATTAAGTTGGCTAAGTTGATGAAGAAATCAAGGGAGGAAGTGATACTTATGGCAAAATGAAGATGAATCCCAAAGTTAAACAAGAATTTCTTTATACTCTAAATTAAGACCTTATGATACTCAGAGATCAGTTTTTATGGGGCTATTCATTTTATGTGATCTATTTAGAAGCCGAAGAGGGAATCAATGTGCTTCCAAATATGTACAAGACTCGGAATGGATATATTATTGCAAGTTTAGGAGGAATCTTAGATTAGTTCTGGATCTTTAATAATGAAACAATTGCCAATCCAGAACTTTATGCGTCGTAATTAGCTTAACAAATTGATTTATTATTATGATAGCTTTTGCTTATTAATTATTTATAATCATTAATTCATCATATCAAGTAATTGATCATATTGATAGGCATCTAAATTGGCCAAATCTTATTCATTTAAGCCCAATTCAGATTACAGTTATTTCAATTCTTTCTTTTCACTTTAATTCAAACTTTTATCTAAATTTAATAATAATCTATGATATTGACTTTCAGTTAATTGTTTTGAATCATACTCTCCTGGTTTTTTCTTTTAGCTTACATTAAATTCTCCAATCAATTATTATTTGTATCCTTTCAATAAAGCTTACTATTTATATTCTTTAATAATTTATTGTTTATAATCAGATAAATATTACTATAATTATGCTTTTGGCATAACTAAGAAAGGTTTTTCTTTTTTTTAATTATTATTATTATTATTATTATTATTATTATTATTATTATTTTTATTATTATTTTTATTATTATTTTTATTATTATTATTATTATTACCACTTAATTATCCTAAAACATCTTGTATTGATTTAGAATCATCTTATATTTATGATTAATGTCTCACTGTTGGTTTATCTTAATTACCAAACTGAAAACTCAAATTACTCAACAAAGAATTATCCTTTTATTAGTATTATTATTATGCATAATTAGGTTATAAATTTCTTTAATTATTAAATTAAATTCCACTTTCTACTCCCCAATATTTTTCTACTCTACTTTTTTATTTATTTTACTTTTAGTCTTCTTATTTATCAATTCCACTTTTCGATATTACAACATCTTCAACTTAATTTAAACCATGAACAATTTAAAATGTTGTTTGTTTTGGTTATTTATTGTTATCATCCCAAAGTTTCTCTGCTTTCAATCTAGCTTATTCTATTACAAAATCATCTAGAGTATCTTTCTCTACTCTTTCTTTTGGTTTCATATCATAAACAAGAATTTTGAAACCAGTATTTTATGACATTTTAAGTAATACCCAACATATTTTAGCAGTAAAATAATCTTATTCCCCTAATTTATATTTAACATTATGTATCTTCTATTTAACACCTACATCTTATGGCCATTTCTGTTGAATCTTAATCAATTCTATTTCTTCTAATATGTAATAATAGAAATATTATGCTACATGATGACCACAATCACAATATAATTATATTTTTCTAGGAATTTCATTTCTCATATCTTCTTGAATCTAACCAATAAGTAATTCTCTAGAAGGATTCTTGGGAAATTTATAAGGTTGAAAAATTTGAGAAATCAAATATTATCCTAATTCGTATACTTCATCAAGAGTAGTACGAGCTATAGTTTCTTCAAGAAAATCAATCATTTTTAATCTCCTTGCTTCAATATCACAAATTAAAGCTATCCATCTCTCATCATAATATATTGCAATAATGACTTATTCATATTCAGTATAATTTGCTTTTGGTCCTTCTAAATTGTCAGAGAGAAAGAAGAATTCTGCTCTTTTAGAGAAGCGATCATAAGATATAACTTTAATACATAATACACCTAATTTAAGTTTGGCTTGCATTTTCATTGTATTTTTTCTATCTTCAAGATAATCATGTAAATAATGCATAAATATTCCCATAATATTTATTGAAACTGCAACTTAATTCTTAAATTATGCAAATTCTCCCCATTTGATCTATAAATTGTATCGTCTCAATAAGATGTCACTATCATGATGTCTCTCATCTCCCCTATCTTCTTATTCTAATAATTCTGCATATTCCTACACATCAAATTCATGCAATAATGGCAACTCAAATTTAATTATTTCGTCAGGTTAATCAATAAAATCATCATCATTCTATTTCACATCATATTCCTCTACATTTTTACGATACATTCTTTTTAAATATTCTGGAAGTACAGCTTCCCATGAACCATCTTTGAAGATGGCTGCTTTTTAACATTATATACTGAATTTATTATAAGTGTTCCATATAACATCAATAATCTTCCTTAAATCTTCATCCATATAAAAACCCTATAAATCAATCATCTTTCTACAAGTATGACACATAAAATTTGCATAACTTGAATAATTTGATTTCTCATATCTCTCATACAGTTCATCAATATCATAAATGCAAGTCGGTTTTAAACATTAAGTATTTCTCATTGGAATTATTTACTTACGACCACTAAATTCTGTGAAGATTAGAGTTTCTATATAATTAAGGGTTCGATCATAAAAAAAGAATCTCTTCAACATCCCCTTTTTGGCTCTTGTAATAAACTTTGTATTAAATTCTTCTTACTTTTATTTTTATAGCATTAATTAATACATCTCAAAAATTACTTATATAACAATTAAAATATATCAATACTAAACCAACAACAATTATTCATCCTTTTTATTCTATTTCTCTTATTATTAGACTATCAGTTGTTGAATATTGTTTAAAGGTAGTAAATCAATACAAAATTTTGAAAAAGATGTATAATAATTTATAATGCAAAAAATAATAATATAAATGATTGTGAAAATCTTACATTAAATGATACTTAATTCTATAGAATTATTTGTAAATATTTAAAAATAAATATTATCTTCATCAATTTAGAATAGATTTTGAAATAAGTACTTTTCTTCCAATTAAATTTATGTAACAAATAGTTCTACCTTCTTAAGTAACTAATATATTATTTTAGAATTCTTCAATTTCAAGTCTAAACTTCAAAGATTCCTTCTGATTAGTCAGTACTTCATTAATTTTAACATTCTTAGAGAATTAAATCATTATTATTATAATGAGTTTAATCACAGTACCAAGCTTTACTTAAATCTATAAAAAATTTTAACCATTCTTTTGATATAATTTTTGCTTGAATTTATTATGAGTTAAAAAGAATATAAATCCTCTATTTGCTTTATTTACAAGAATTGTAATCATTAATTTATAAGATAAATCATTATTTATTTTAAGATTTAAATTAATGATATTTGAATTTTCAATTCAATAATAATTATCAGTAGATTAAATTGAAGCTGTTAATGTTATCTCAATAAAACTAAAGATTGGATTTAAATTATTGAATATATTAAGACAATATATATTTATTTATAAATTTATATTGATTTATGATATGTAAATATTTTAGATACAAAAAAAATAATTGAACTTAATATTTTAATTATATATTTTATTATTATATAATTCTTATTCAATTTAATAGACATTATGTTATCTCATTACTTTATGATCTATAATTCAAAACTATTTATTTATTGCTATTTTCTCCAAAAAATACAACAGAATAAGACTACTATGTTAATAATATTGTATAATAAGGTCCAACAGAGAATGATGATGTTTCAGAATTGTCTGATAATTTATAAATACTAATTGCTGAAATGTTATTTGGAGACCAATATGTAATTGCAAAATAATTCTTATATAAGTCCAATCTATTTTTAGCAGGCCAATCTTGATATTAATTGAGTGATGTCTTAATGAAAAATTTAGTCAATTATTCATTCTCAAAAATTGCAGTTACAATATAATGATCATTATTATTTGATGCTACTAGAATATCAAATTTATTATCATTTTTAGAAATTATTCTACTAGTCAAAAAGATTTAATTTTATTTCATAAAAATTTAAGGTCTCAATTCTATTCTTCCTTTAGAAGTTGGAATAAGTAAGTTTTATTTCAATTAACAATCTACCCACAATAATCCATTATCTCTATCAGCTAAAAACATTTTAGCTTTCAATAATCCATCTTCTTCATATTAATGAAGGCTGAAATCAATTATATCAATTGTATTTGGCAATCCAAAAAAATAAAAATCTAAATAATAAGATGGAAGTTTCAAGTAAAAGTTATCTTCTGTTAATACATAATTCATAAACATTACTCTACCATTAGTATTTGAATAGTAAGGATAATCTCTTTATGCATTTAATACTACAAATGTATTTCCAATTACTTCTAGTTTTGAGAACTAATCTCCACAATTCCAAATTTGTTAAGTAGAGCCTATTTGTTTGCAAATGTTATTTTCACATTTATATGCTGTTAAATATGGGATTGCTCCATATTCAAGACATACTGAAAAAACATGTTATCCATCAGGATGATTAATTACTCTTTAACAAACAAAGTTCAAAGAATCTTCTTCATCTATTACACCTATAGTTTACAATTCAGAGTTTGTTTTCAGGATTCTCTTTGTTGTTTATAAATAATAATTTAAATCTTATCCTCGAACTCCTTCTGCAAATCCTTCATTTTGTAGAGGAAATGATATTTATTAATTACATCTTACATCGCTAATTGCTCCTCCAAATACAATTAATGTTGATACTAACAAAATTGAAATCATTTCTGTTTAATTTCTGTATATTTATATAAAAGAAATAATATTCATAAAACTTTTGAGTTTAATTATTTTTATTCAATAATTTTAAAAGTATAATTATTTAAATTAAATCTTAATTATTTTATATATAAATTCTTATAATATTTATTCAATAATATTTAGATTTATTAGTAAAAAACTAAATTATGCCTATCACAATTGATTTGAAAATTGAGCAATTTATAGAAACAACAAAAATGTGAATATTAAGATAATTTAGTTATATTTCTTACAAATTTGAAAAACATAAATATTTACTAAATGTTATTTTTTAAGAGTATTTCAATTGAAGTTAATCTCAAAATAAAAATTATTATTTTAAGTTATCTACTTTAAGAATGTGTTGTTAAATAAAATTATGTAACAAATGAATAATAATTATAATTAAATCCAGTATATTTTGTCTTAAAAACTTAAATTTATAGCAAAGAAATCTAATAATTAAATGAATTAATTAATAATTCTATTTTGTATCATAAAGGATAGTGGGGCTTAATAAATCAAATTTAATTTTTCTATTGAAATTTAATATTCTAGGTTGATAATTTAAAAATAAAAGTATTGATATTAAATTGATAATTCCTTTTATTAATAGAAATATAGATTAATAGATAATATAGTTGTGTATATAGAGAATTCATTTTATAATTGAAAGTATATATATAGTATTTATATACATATAATTATGTGTAAAATTTATAGTTTACATCTATAAATCATTTTATGTTTATTTATTAATTTAAATAATATAATGGAATAGATCATCGTATAAACACCAGGCCTAGTTCAAATGCTTTATGCAGCTTACTACTTTGTTAAGGGCATATATACATTAGAATAGGTTTAAGAAGTGATTGCACAAGTGAAAGACATTCAAACAAAAGACACCAAAACTATGATTGCCTCTCTTAAACACGAGTTTCAATCAGAATTACTAAGGGAACTGTTTTATTTCTATTACAGAGCTCTTAGTTTTTAAAATGCCTTCCTCAATACCTAATACTTATAGGAAGATGGAGTTGAATAAGACATACATTACTTAGAAGGCTTAATAAGTGTGAAGACTAAAGGATACTGATACTATTATAAATTATTATACATATATATTTAAACTCATACATAATAGAATTTATTTCTACTAAGTGACTTAAGTGGTATCTTATTATAATTGAGAAACACATAATTCTAATACACTTAATTACTGAGAATTAAGATTTTTATAGCAACATTCATTAATGTATATTATGATAAATATACAATAAGATTAATATCGACAGATAGAAGCATAAATATACAAATGAATTATTTAATATATATATTTTCAATTATAATTTTTTTAAATGATATTTATCAATATGTAGGAATATAACAATTGGAAACTAATTAAATATAAATAATAAATATAATTTCAATAATTATCATATTCTTCTTAATATTAGTGGGAGCCTTTTTTAGAAATGATGACCCAAACTAAAAAACCAATCATAAAACCAATTCCAAATATTAGAAGAGCTCTTTTAGGATGAAATCTGAGCCAAGCTAAGGCAATTGTTATTAAAGTCAAAGGTATTGATATTAAGGCACTAACAATAGCAAAGAAAAATGTAGACAATTCAGCCATGAAACGACCAAGAAAAGGGAACCAAGAAATTACATATACAACAGGTGAAAAGAATAACATTAATCCAAAGAACTAAATATATATATTAAGATAGATTTACCATCAATAAAAATCCTAAAAATCTAACTGCTAATGTCAATTTACGTGATTCCTTAAGCTTATGATCAAATACCTCATGAATTGTTAAGACTTTTTCTAATAACCAATCAATATATTTAATTGGTTCTAATAAATGTTTGAGTTATTTTTAAATTCCATTGTCATCATCTTTATCTTTTAAAATCTATGATAAATCTTATCCAATATAGATAGAATGATCACTTCCTTTGTCATCATAATCATTAAGTAATTTACTATCTTTAACATTTAATGAGTATGGTTCAAAAGAGTTACCCTTTTATTAAGAAACAACTGTGGCATCTCCACATTTTACCTTTAAAAAACGTATTCTTTGATCTCCTACTGTGAAATTACCATGAACCTTGTTTAAATATACATATTCATCTTGTATTTTACTAAGTTTGATAATTGATTACAGCCTTACATATGATCTTGAGTCTTTTTAGGAAATGCTTGTTCACAAATACTGATCCATTCTTATTATGGTTAGATCACTTCAAATTTTTTAGCTTATTTTAATTAGTATTTAGTAAGTAAATAAGCTCCTAAATAAGCCTCTTTAGCATATTTAGATTTCTTTTTGACTGTCCAATCCTATTCATCATTCTAAAAATTTTCATAACTTTCTTATTAAATTGCAGACCATTCTGTAACAAAGAATACTTTAACTTTTTTATCTTTACCCACTCCTTCTGTTTCTTCTTTTTTAATCCATTGATAAGTTTCAACTTTACGTTTCAAGACCAAACAATTTTAAACCTCTACTCCAAATTATTCATCTTTAAGAATATTATCAGTTCTTGTCTAACCATTTATGTGTATTAATCTTTTCTCTAAATTAGGATTGACTTCAAGACAATTAGTTGATATACATTCTTTCTCTGCTCTCTCTAAATTTACTTCATTTTCAGCAGCTCTTTATTTTTAAATGAATAATACTTGTATTCATTAAGCCATAATATAGGAAATGATAAAAAGAATAATAAAATCCCAGCTAAAAATTCAACTAATGGACTAACACTTGATTCTCCAGAATAGTGTTTAGATGAACTACTAGAAGATGATGAATAAGGCTTTGTAGATGATGATGCTATAAATTTAAATAATTAAATAAATACATCCTTTGGTTCCACTTTTTGTTCCACTTGATTTCTTGCAATCTACAATTTGTAACAATAATAATGCTATAAATAGAGTTATTAAGAATTTTTGACTCATAATTATAGATTTTTAGACTTATCTGTTGTTTTGTTAAATGAAATATTAAAATAAAATCAATAATCAATAATCAATAAACAATTAATAAGTTCAAAATAAAAAGATTCATAATGAATGTATTTATATTACTAAATACAAGATAATTATATCATCAAATTCAGTACAATTTATATGAATCAAAAATATAATAAATTTGTTTGATTTTCAAAAGAAAATAATTATTTTACAATAGGCTTTGTTGAAATATTATTTCTAAATAGATTGATATAAAATTAAAAGTTGTTAATATTAAAATAGAAATTATAGGTTATTTTATTTATTTATTATCATTTTGGAATAATTCTATTTATTAAATCAAAATATCGCAATACTAGGTAGAATGATATTATGCTTATGATAATAATAAGTATTGTATCTTTAGAGTTTTTACTAGGTTCATTCTTTGGTTTTAAGATTTAATTACTATGTGTCTTTTGTAAATTCAACTAAAAAAGAATTAAATAAATAATTACTAATTGTTATTCATTTTGAACCATCTCTTATTAGAGTAATCCAAAATTGGGTTGATTATTGTTAGATTGAAATCTGGTTTAATCAAATTTAGGTTCTGGAATAGTATTGTTAAAGTCTAATTAAGTATTCTATTTATGAAGTGACTAAAACACTTAATTAACATTTCCACAACCTTATGATATAATCTTTTTATCAATAGTTTATATGACTATGTTAATTTTTTGATTTTCAGATGGTCTGCTTGGATCTTTGAATATAGTTGTTGGGTCTTAGATTCCTGAAAAAATGGGAACAGATATTAATTGCAATTTTTCATTAAATTCCTTAATCAAAGCATTTTCAAGGACTTTACAATGTAATGTTACATTAACTAATTAATTTTGTTTAGGTTAAAGTATTCCAATTGATGGTCTTACTAAAAAGATATTTGGATTTGAAGCTTTGAACTAAGAATACTATAAATAGTACTTTGAATGCAATAGGAGTAAGATTATCATTATACAATTCAATATTTGATTGCATATTATCATATTTATTGTAAGTGAATTCAACATGATTAGAACTTAATCGAAGTAGTTCCATGTAAAATTAATTAATTATAAATAAATTGAATAGAATTGTTTCAAATAATATAAAATAAATTAGAACTAATTAATTTAGTGAGAAGTGAAATTAAATTGATAAATAATTAAGCAGTTCATAGTAATTATAATAATATTAATGAGTTAAAGTAATTAAGAGAATTAAGAATGTTTATAATAGTTTAAAAAAAGTCAATATAAATTAAAATATGATAATATAAATAATTTTGTTAAGTGTAGTATATGCATAATTAGGTTATGTATAAGAAGTGATGAATTAATTAGTTGATTAAGAATGCAGTTTGAAAAATAGAATTGCTTATGGTTAATAAAAACTTCATAATTTATAAGGAATGTATTTTTGTGATTCATATGCAAAAAGAACATGTTGTAGCTAATAAAATTTAGAAGAATTAAAATATAAGTAGATTATATTAGTATATTATAGATGGTATAGAGAATAGTAATAAGCTGTTGAAATAAGTCAGTAATGTTAAGAAATATTTACTAAGACTATTTGTTCAGATTGTGATGGTGATATTGGATAATAAATTAGATTTGGATTCTGTCCTCATTATTGTAATTAAATGTATTAAGCCTGTTGGAGAGACTTATTCTAATATGATGAAAAAACATAGAAATTGAGACTTTGTTATTAAGTAAGAACATTAATAATTCTAGAATGACGTGTTATGTTCTGAATTAAGAAATATTGTAAATAATGGAGATCAATTTTGTACATCATTAGGATACAAAGTGAATTCATATACAAATAGAGATGAGTGGATAGAAAATAAGTATTTGAATCTAACTACAACACCATTATGTTGGGATGGAACTCCTTCTCATAGAATTTGGAGTTCTGAAACTAAATTACCATAAACAAAAGTGAATTAAAAGAATAATAAACAAAGTTTCAATGATCAATAAAAATCATATTATAGACTTTACATTTTTGCTGGTATAATTTTAGTAATTGGATTCTTTATTGTTGTTAAAATATTTTTAAAGAAATGATTAATAAATGTATGTATTTTAATAATTTCACAACTTCACCTATATTGCTGGTATTTAATCAATGTCTGGATAAGAATAAAGATGTTCATATTAACCTTTAATAAACTAATCAGATTCTGTTAAATTTTCTGATTACCATTTAATAAGTGGATGATCAATATGATTATTGGAATATTAATATGTATAAAATGCTTTTTATTCTTTTGTTGTTATTGATAAACTATAAGTCTAATGAGGCAATAATTTTATAGGATTTTTGAATTCAAGATAATATAAATGACCATCCACAATTGTTTATTTTTCATGTTCCAATATTTTATGTTCTTTAAAAATTTATTTGGTTAGATCATTTCCTAGATGTAACTTATAAGTTAATTTTAATGAAGATTTGCTTTGTGAATCATAATTTGATGAATTATAGCTACCCTTATATAACATAGGTTAATAAATTCCAATTAAATACAATGGTTTGTCTCTTATTTGAAATTGATTTACCCTAATTGTATTTTTATCAAAGATACTTGGTTGACTCAAACCTTCATCAGCTAAAAATATATTTTTATATAAATACTAATCCAAACTTTTTTCAATCTATCAATTCTTTGACTATTAGTATAAAATATTCTATTGACACAATCTAATTGATTTAATATCTCTTTTTATATATTTGGAATCTAATTTTATAAATAGTCTTTGAGTTCAATTATTTTTTTTTAGTTTTAATTCTCTTTTAATATTACTTAATTTTTTTAAATGTCTTACTATTCTTTTATAAGATATTGTCTTAAATCTTCAATGTCATCTTTATTAAATTCATTGATAGACTATAAAAATTTATATCCATATTAATTTATCTTGGAATTATTTACTAGATTATTGATAATAATTCTTAATTCTTCTTCTAATTGATTTAATTAATTTTATATTGTTTTCTTAAATTCACGATAAATATTGTATGTTTCTAATCCAAATTTATCTTATGAGATTTAATTAACATTTGTATTTCGTTTAAGTAAGACATCTATTTATTTCATGTAAATAATTTGTTTGGAATGTTCGACATGAAGTTTAACACAAGTTTAACAAAATTAGTGTTATTCTTAACATTATTCATTAAGACAAATATTTGTTATTGGTTTATCTGGATGCTTTTAACATTTAATTAACTAGAATCGTTCAATAAAATTCATATTAATAAATAATAATAATATTGATTATTATTATTAGTGATCAATAAAAATAATATAAGAATTGATTAGGATGTTATTAAAAGAATTTCAGTTTGAATTAAAAATATTTGAATTTTAAGAAATCTCAGGCAATTTTATTTAATAACAGTAAATTTAATTGAAAAGAAGCAGAAGACAAAATATTTAGTAACAATATATATCATATTCAAATTAACTATATTAAATATTTATTGAAATCAGAGTCTCTAATTTAATCTAACTTATAATCTACGAACATAACTATCTACATCAAAATTTTATTAGATTTAAGGTTTATTCTCTTTGTTAGAAAATTCAGAATGATATTAATTAAGTGGTGTTTATGGATAATTAACTTAAGAATATCTTCTTTATTTAATTTGAAAATCTCTCTAATTTGTTAATGATTGTGCTTGAAATTAAAGGTCAGGTTGACAATCAAACTTATGTTTAGGTTCATACTTTTTATGCCAATCTGTAAATTTATTTGGAGTATATCGTGTTGTACATTCTTATAGCTGGTGTTAATACTTAGAATAGGATCGGATTGGATATTATTACATACGAATAAATATAATTAAATTAAATTATTAGATATGGTAAAGTTGCTGTCTAAATCCCCAGTGGCATTAAATAGTCCAACATTGTAATAATGGGACAACAGTTTCAGAGAGAATTACGATATGTATTAAACAGAGATTGACAAAAATACTTATGCATTATAAAGAAGCATAAGAGGTTTCTGGATATTTGGAAAAGCATTCTACCCTGCTCTTACTTAACATTACAGTTAGAAATTAGAGCTATATCAATTGAAATAGCAATTAGGAAAGGTATATAATATTATAGATTTATATTTCAGATTGAATAATCAGAGGTGAATTTATATAAGACAGTTGATCCAAGCATTAGCACTGTATTGAATAAGACATTCAGTACATAATGGCTTTGGTGGAATCTCTAAGACATATCCATAACAGCTGGACTATAAGTCTATGCTTAATTGTTTAATTTTGGATACTCATGGAGAGTTGGATTCTTAGTTCTACCATATTGTGCTAGAGTAAGTAATTGCATAACTCTTAGGTCTTTTATGACTATGCAACATCATACTAAAATAAATCAAGGGCAGTCGAATTTCTCAACTGGGCAATTCAATATAGAAAAGCAAAGAGCTAGATAGAAAGAGGTAGTTTGGATCCATTAGCAATTGAGAAATATTAGGCTCTTTTTGGAACTGTTAAGAAGGGACCACTTTAAGTATATGCAGATGTTATTGAATTGGCTACCCAATAAAATCCTAATTTGTGATGGATAAAATAAATCATATAATGAATATTGATCATTAGAATAATATTTACTTCACAGTTTCGGAAAGTAAAGCACCTGCTAATTCTACTGAGAATTTCTAAGCCTCTTAAATTTATTATTTCTCTTTTTTCTCTTATTCATCCACTAAATAACCTTGATCATATTTTATAAAGCATTTTTCCTTCAAATCACATAAACACTATCCAAAATACAACTAACTCTATCAAGATTAAGATCTACTTGGTTATCCTGTAGAATAGATTAAGATAATCTCACACCCCAATATCTTTCCCATAATCCTTATACTATTTTACTATCAATAGAATTGCTAAATATTTCAATATCTAAAGAATAATATTTATCATGATAAGCTCCAAAATCTTTAATCTTTTAAGATGGAATTCCAATTTTATCATTCTAATTGTCTATAATATAATTATTAATTACTTTTAAATGGTCTATATCCATCAGGATACACTCTAAATGCACCTATATCAACCTTTTGATTTGTCATTGTTCGAATAGGATCAATCACAACAGCAACAAATGCACCATAACCCATTTATTAGATTCTTTAATTTTGTACATCAGTACCACTTAACCAACATCCATAACTTGGATGAGAATGGTACCATCCTACAGTTGGATGTACTCTTCCAACAGTTTCTAACATTTCAATCATTTATACATATTCACCCATAGCTTCAGGAGCTAATAATTTAATGATAATTATATCTACTTAATGTAACATTCACTTCACTTGCTTCTGCATTTAAATAAATTACATCATAAATAATAAATGTTTCTTTATCACATCTACCTTACATTAAACCCATAACTTCATTATTTTCTATATTTAATTTATTATTCAAATACTTCCAAGACATGCATGAATCAACATCTTAATTACAGAAGCTATAGAAATTTTGCATTTCTTAAAATAATTAGGTGAACTATCCCATGGTTTCTAATCTATGAAATCATTTTATTCATCTTAATTAAAATGATAAATCTATTCATCTTGTAAAATGTTATTTTTCTCAACAAATTATTGATAATCCATTTACTTTAATTATATATATTATTATTAACAAATAAATATATATATATATATTTAATCAATCTATTCTTTTAAGTAATGTACTTAATGTCTAATCTAATTCATGTAAGGAATGTAAATAACTAAATTAATATATTTATATACTTTGAATTCAATTCACGCATTTCCTTTTTAGACATTTAACTTAATCCATTGTTTATTTTAATCAACTCAGATACACTTACATAACCTTCATTTTTAATCTTACTAAAAGAATTCTAATTTTCTTTCCAACAATTTGCATCAAATTATACAAATGGTTAAGATGTAGATCTTTAGATATATGATTGTTCATAACTTGTTTTCATTATTTGATTATTCTTAATAGGTTCTTATACACTCTATCTTAGTTAAGTACTCTTTAAAATAAAAGACAATTATTTTGTAGAATTCTTTCCACTTGGAGATTTATCTTAAGTGTTATTTATTTTTGCCTATGTTACTTATCTAATATAATTTCTAAATTCAATCAGCTCTTGTCTTTGCGATTAATCGTACATTCAAGTAGCCGTTAATAAAAAAATATTAATAATTCACAATTTGATCAAGACTACTCATACACCATCTTCACTACTACTGTTGGAGGTATCTTATCTTCAAAAATCAATTGTTACAATGTTTCTTTAGATATAACTTAAGGTCTATTATAATAATTATTCATAATCATTTTACCTATGTATTTAACTCACTATATCCATTAATATTTAATCACTTAATACATGATCTTTTCCATCTATTCTCGATGCTAATAATCTTAACAATCCCTATATTTCTGTAAATGGTATTTCATTACGATCTGAAGCTAAAAAGAAATCATAAGTAAATTTTATATAATCCTCAAATGTACCCTCTTAAAATACTATTAATTTATAAAAATGTTTAAATCCACTAAATGTAAATAAATCTCCTTTACAAAATGCCCATACTACTCTTTCTACTATTTCATCCTCTTTACGTATCAAATCCCAAAATACTTAACAATATGTCAAAAATGTATCTTTATGAATTGAAACATCATCTTATCCTTTTTCTACTTCAGAAACATCCAATAAAACCTAATTTGATTTTCCAAAATCAATTGGTTCTGATGAATTACTTTACCTTGAATTCTTTACTACAAATTATGGAGATATCTAAGAATTTGGTGTTTATTAAGTTAAACTTTAACCCATTTTCTTTTTATGGAAATCTTGTATACTATAATAATGACTTATTGATGAAATAGTTCCAAATTATTACATTCTAATTTCTGGTTTCTAAAGTTAAGCATGAGATACTAATTTATCATTATTAATCAATATATTCCATTCCTTAACCAAATCCAATTGTTTTGTAGTATTGTTCTTTATCATTCTTATCATATTATCTCTATACAAATATTTAGGATTCCCTTTCTATCTCTCAAATACAGTATTTTTATCATAATCTAAATATGATCTCAATCTAGAACCAAATCCCCTTAAATTTTCATTTAATACTACTACATTTTAAACATTAGGATCAATTTCTTAAGATGCACTTAAATCAATTTCTTCAGATGATTTATATAATCTTGGTTATGAGAGAAATGGAGATTTCCATGATTCTTATAATGGATTTCTTTCATTTAATTGTTATACTTTTTTATCCAATTTTTTAAGTTCTTTATTTCTATATTCCTATTATTACAGAGGATGTAATCCTTTCATTGCTTATTCAAACAATAATGTGGGTTTGGATGGGAGTTGCTTATAATGTTTCAATAAATCATTCTTGGAGAATTCTTAATTAATAATACTTGATTATGCATCATCATGTATTGGTATTACTAAATCAACCAATTGTTTTTAAAAGTTTCTCTTCTCAACTATTTATTCTAATTTTTTTTCATCATTAAATTTAGATTTTTGAGGAGAACTTAATATCTATCTTTTTTATTGAATAATTTTCAATCTTGGCAATGTTGGTTTAAATATTACATTCCTTTTGTTTGAACAATTATTCATTTATTATAACAAATTATATAATAATTGTTATATTTCATTCAACTTAATTTCTTAATAATATTTAGTATTTATAAAATATATATCAATCATTTCAAATTTCTAAATACGTTACCTATGTTTTACTTTTCTTTATTTAATAAACAAATCTACTTAGTTTTGTAAAAATTTATTTTTGCTTTTTTAAAATAATCTAGTAAAATATTTATTTATAATAATGAACAAGTTTAGTCTTACATTCATTTAAAAAAGTTTGGAATTAAAATATTAAGATCATAGATATTTATCAACAATACCTGCTTGTAAAGCTATTAATTTAATGTGTTTTTTAATTTGCATGATTAGATCAATATTTTCTGCTATTAAGTAAGATTATATAAATCTTATCATATTTGCTCCACTTGGATTACTTGTTTTAATTGTTCACTTTGTAGTTATGTTTTATAAAAAATAATGGATAGATTTCTATCTAGTAGGAATAAATCATATTTTAATGTGTTATCAAATATATACAGAAGCAGATTTCAAACCATAAGAAGCCTTTGTTTTTGGATAAAATATGATGGTTATACACACCATTATTATATTAGTATCAGATTTTAAATTTGCTGTAATCTAAGTTATTAATAATGCCATCATTAAATTAGCAATTGCAAGATATTTTTAATCAGACATTTCAATTTAAGCCTTTATCTATTGTTTCATTCTCTCTTTTATGATTCTAATCCCTCTCCAAAGAACTAACAAATAATATAGAGAATCATTTCTATATACATCATAAAATAATTCATTAGGTATTACTATTAAAAATTCAAATAGATTGGATTATCCCTAAAATTATTGAGAACCCTTTTGTTATATTTGTTTATGACTATGAAAATGTTGGCTTTAATGTCAAACTATCTAATTTTAATACCTTCAATTAATTTGAATCAAGTAATAATAATGTTCAAAATCTTAATTCACTTTTAAGAAATTATAAAATTAATGGAAATTCACTTGAAACCTTCATTCTCAATAGAAGATAATTATCTGAACAAATTATTGTCAATTAATAACATGAAATTGTTAATTCAAAAAATTATTCAGATAAAATATACATCAAATATTCAGAAGTCTAACTTACTGAATAAACCTTTATTATAATACTAGATTATAAACAATAGGATTATATAAAAATGGAAAAAAGAATATAAAAATTAGAAACAGGAATTAATCTATTTTTATTAAATATGAAAGGATTTTTAATTAAACAATTAATAATGTTAAATAACTCTAAACGAAAGGATTTATCTTATATATATATGAACAAAGTTAATTTAATGTACATTCTCACCAAACTCTCTGTTAGATAAAATTTATTTGTACATAAATGTAAAATTGTACCAAAAATAAATCATTTTATTAAATTATTCAATAAAGCCTACAAAAAGAGAGTTAATTTTTAATTTGAGAAATAGCATATTTAAATTGCTACTTATAAGAATGTATTTGAAGAACTCTTAACAATATTAATGACATTCATATTTCGACTATAAACAAATTCCTAAACTAAATTAATATTACGTGGAAGCTATTATTAAAATGAATAATTTTTAGATCTTCTAATTAAATTCGATTAGTCCTTTTAATTATTTTAATAGCTTCAATAAAATATTCATTTTCGAAAGACTCTTAAATAAATAGGACCATGTGATAGATTACTTATGGAAAATAACGGTAAATATAAGATAGTATTTATTATTAGTTGTAATTATTAGATTATATAAGGATTTGAGTTAGGTTAATCAATTATAAACATTTCTGAATCATTCCAACCTTAAACAAACTAATTCTATTTGATTTTATAAATTTGTTAATATATTTTTGCTATATATACAGAATACTTATTTTGGAGAAATTTACTTAAGAATTCTAGCTGGGAAGTTTTTAAAAAGCCACTTAATTTGATTTGATAAATTGAAAATCTAATATATATTCTGATTATATATTATTTAAATTCTTTTATTTATAGTTGATTAATAAAAATAATATAAATTTGAATAAAATATCATTATATTAATATCTTAGACTTTATTGAATGCTAATTTATATTATTAAATATGATTTATCTTTTTTTTAAAGTTTATTTTTAACAAAAATATGTACTATTATATTTGACAGAATTAAAGTACAATTCTTAACAACAATGGATAAATTACAATAATATGTCCAAAAATATAGTATTAATTCATAATAAAAATAGAGTGTATTATTATTAAAAAGTTCACATTATATAATAAATTAATCTATTAATGTCCGATATTAAAATTACTCCAAGATAACATGGAAGATCTAAAACAAAAACAAGTATATATTTTGTATTGAAATTTTAGTTGATAATATTTAAGTTTAATACAAAAAGGCAGGAATAACAAATGATCGATTAGTCGTTAATAAATTAGGACTTAAATTCGATCCAGTTTGTTGGAAAAAAACACATGAGAAAGGTAGAATTTAATATGTTTGCATTGTAAATATAAGATATATATTATATAAAGGAGAAAGATTGTAAAGCAGATAGAAGATTAGCATGTGCACATTGTATAATTGAAGAACATGATTAACATGTTTCTAATAAAATAACAGTTGAATAATATTGTGAAGCATTTGAATACAATTATAAGTAATATGTGTTATAAGTATGATCATAATTTGCTAGTGTAGGTAGCAAAAATGGAGGAAAATTATAAAAAATGCAAGATGATTGATGTTATAGAATAAATTGATCAAGATATGAATACCATATTTGAAATATTAAAATATTAACTAAAGACACTAAGAGATAAATATATAAAAGACATGTAAACCTATTCAGAAACCACTAATGCAACTTTAATTTAAAATTTTAATGATGAAAGACAGATCCTTTTAAAGATGAAAGAATATGCAAATAAAAACCTTTATGAAATGACACCAGCTGAAATGGATCATAGTTTATTA